ATATATTTGCCTTGAAACTTTTTAGCTTGATAGAAATTCAGATTTTCATTCCACATTGGAACATGTGCACTTGAGTAAGGGTGAGCGAACGTAGCATTGACTTGTTCAAAGTGCTCATTGAATGCATGTCCATAGGGACAATCGAAAGTGGTATGTAAAACACTTGAACATGTCATGCATGGCTCACTAAGATGAGAAGTATGATGAAAATAATGTGACTTTATAACCGGTTTTTGACTCAACAAGAATTAATCAAGTTTTTGAGAGAGAGTCTTAACCTCGGCTACAATCTCTAATGGATTCTCTACTTGACATACTTGCAAATCTCTCTTCTTTTCCTTTGAACTATGGTAAAACCGAGAAGTATAATATTTTTGCAATGAGTTTTCGCTCATTTTCTCAAAGAGGTGCCATATGTCATCTTTATGTTTTCCAAAATATGATCCTCCACATGATGTACCGACTATGTCCTTATGAATGTCGGATAGGCTCTCATAGAAATATTGAACCACTTGCCATTTCAAAATGCCATGATGTGGACATTTGCTTAGCAAGTCATTCAATCTTTCCCAAGCCTTATGTAACCACTTCCCTTCCCTTTGAGAAAATTCTCTAATTGAAACATGCATTACATTAGTCAAACTTATGGGGTAAAATTTTTTCAAAAATTCATTTTGCATTTGTGCCCAAGATGTTATTAAATTTGCCCCCAAAGTATTGAACCAATGCTTTGCTTTATTTTTGAGTGTGAAAAGGAAGAGAAATAGCCTAAGAACTTCCTCTGGGACATCCATATATCTTATAGTGGAACATATTTCAAAGAATTCATTAAGATGTTTGTAGGGTTCCTCATCATCTAAGCCATAAAAGAGTGGACACATTTGAATAGTCTCAGGCTTAATTTCATATTGATTTGCTTCAAAATTAGGCAACATGATACAAGTAGGTGCATGATATGCATGAAGATTGTAACGATCACGAAGGACCATTGGAGGAATTGAAGCTTGAACTCTGGGACCATGTTGATTAAGAGGGGGTTTTGCATGAAACGTGGGTCTAAGTAGCCAAGATTACCCTCTAGATTTTTCATGTGAATGCCTAGGACAAATGATATGACAAGGATTACCCAAGACTTCTATCAACACACGAAACACAACAAAACAAGTAAGCATTTCTCCTTCACAACAAATCAATAATCAACAAACTTCCTCCACATACATTGTTCCCATACTCCCATGCTTTAACAACAATATACAAGAAAAGTAAATTGCCTCCACATGGGCTCACGAATTATCTAAGAATTGAAATACTAGCCTCCACGCGGGCCGACGATTTAACTAAGGGAGGAGTAAAGAAAAAGGTCACAAAGGTCCTTTAGCACTTCAACTCCAAATTTATAGCTTAGCTTAGCAATTTTTTTTTTAATTTTAGCTTTTTTCCTTGCTTGCTTAGCTCCTTTGCTTGGAATATCCTTTGCTCACTTCTTAGCCCAATGCTCCTTGTCAAACAAGAACAAACACAATAAGTAACAAAATTGAAAACAAAGTAAAGACACGATCAAAACAGTACTAATTCCTAATTGATTCCACAAAATCGACGTTGCCAATCAATCAGTCAACCCCCAGCAACGGCACCAAAAACATGGTGTGTCGTCAATTCAAACCCAAAGTTTATGCAATATGGCCAAGTTTTACATTTAGAAATTGCCACTACTACCTTTCACAAAAAATATAGCTAGGGTGAGTAGGGATCGTCCCAAGGGATTGAGTGTCGTACTAGGTTGAGGAATCAAAATTAGGGTTAGTAGGTCGAGTGATCAAAATAGTGGTTGGTTGGTTGAATTAAACTAGATGCAAATTAAATTAAAGTAAGCAATAATACAATAGAAAGAATAAAAGAGAGAAAGAGAGAGATCTTGGGGTTTAGAGATCACCACTAAGCATAAATTTTCTACACCTTTAATGAATGATTAATGAGAGGAAAGACATGTATTACAATAAGGTGTGTGTGTGTGGTTGTTTCAACAAGCATAGATGACAAATTAAGCATATATTGTCTAAACATCATGGTCGATAGCACAACATATTAAATTAAGCCATTAATCATTTCTTTAAGCTCACAATCCAAACACATCACAAGATTAAAGATATATGTTACTTGTTTTTCATAAGTATAGAACATCAACAACAAGCACGGATTGTCCTCCCATTTAACAACTACATTACAACTAAGCTAATGATATGAAATTAAACTAATTAAACTAAGGGAGAGGTACAATCCATCAAGCAATGAGTATGAACCATCAAATAAACCACAAGAATATGACATTAAGCACTATGTCTTGATAATCTTTAGATCTATAGCATCAATACACATAGACATGCATCAATAACACAAGAAATAAAGACAAACACATGAACGTCTATTCTAGCATACATAGACATATGGATAGAATGAAATGATCAATTAGAAGCATTAAACCACATAAATCATTGAATATATATATATAAAAGTGTCAAGACATGAATCACAATCCAAATCCCCTCAAAAATACATAAATCAAGAAGTAGAAAGCATGCTTAGGGCTAACTCTAGCCCCAAGAGGATGTCTAGCCACTCATGGATGATATCCTCCAACCCTCAAGGGCAAGCTCCATGGAAGAAATCTGCTCCTTGGTTGATGAAGAGTCTCCAATGATGTCTCTAGCCTCCTCCTCTTCTTTGCTTCCTCCCTAAGAGTTCTACAAGGTATGATATGATATGATGTAAAAAGTAATTATTATCCTTATATAGGTAGCTCAAAAGACACCCAAAATGTGCTGGGGTCGTATAGTAAATATTCCCCAATGATTGGATAAAGGACAACTTTTTGTGAGATAGAAATTTGACTTTTTTCGTACTGGAGGAAGTTCGATCGATCAAACCTTGGACTTGGATCGATCGAACATGGCTGAGATCTATCGAACTTAGGCTGGATTGATCCATGATGGCAGCGCCTTTTTGGATAAAAACAAATTTGAGATATTTTGAAGATATTTTTGGGAAAAGTATAAAAGCGGTTGGTAAGGTGGTACAACTGGATAAGATCAATCATTTGGATAAGGACAAGAATGTTCGATCAATCAGAGAAGGAAGTTGAATCAATCGAACTTTTGAGATCTTTGAACAGGGACAAACATGGCTCAGATCCATCTTGAAGTGCTGAGATTGATGAAAGTTGGATCGATTGAACTTTTCTTGAGATCAATCGAAGTTGCTGAAATTCCACCATTTGCTTCCTTTTGCTCTACTTTGCTCTTTTCTTTGATTCATCCCAGAATTGCTTCAATTATGCTCTTATTTGGCTGAGTTAGCTTATTTTGGGGGTAAATACCTGAAAATGGAAATAACACAAAATCATTACAAAATGGTAAAATAAGATAAATAAAGGTTCGAGAATACCTAAGCTTAAGGGGTTTAAACACGCACTTTTCAGCGCTCATCAAGCACATACATAAACATAAGAGTAATTTAAGGTGATGTTCTCTATCTGATTGGAATTAGAGCTTATTGAAGATTCAAAATTTTTGAGAAGCAGTATTTTATTTGCCTTCGCATAATTCAGAATTTGAAGGAAAGGAGGAAGCGATCACACTTTGGGGAAACATTCGTAGAATATTTGTTGATCTACTTGTTGGGGAAATGGAAGTTTTAACAACTTTTAGAGGGATTTTAAAAAATAGATCTTGATTCATGTATAGAGACAAGTTTTATGTATGAAGAAGATAAGGATCCATTCAATTATAAATAGAAAACTTACATCAAGGTTTGAGTAAACCTTAAATTTCTCCTCTAAAGTGAATGTTCTCACTTATTGTAGATCCCTTCACTATATGTCTTTTCCTTAGTCCGCCATCTTCTTGGTAGTGATCTTGCGTTTAGGAATCACCCATGAACCTTCATGAATGACCTTAGAGAACAAAGCTTGTGGGAGCCTCCATTAGATGAGAACATTAACCCTCAAATCTTAAAGAGAGAAAATATTTTTTTATCTTCCAAAATTAATGCACAAAGGTGTAACCTAAAATATACATAGACCCCATGTATATATAGGCAAAATAAAAATTTAAGATAATATATTTTTCTCAATCTCTAAAATTCACGTGATCTCTCAAATCTAAAGGGCCTTTAATATCAAGTTAGGCTATAAGTGAGAATCATTTGGGCTTATTATTTTCTTCGCTACAATGAATTAATAATTGGCCCGGTCCATTATACCATGGACCCAATTTAATTAATTTATAAATCAATTTATACTCCACTAAAAGAAATTAATTGAGCTCCAATTAGATAATAAATAATCTCTAAGTCAATGTTGCATAATTTGTTATCGGATAAATAAAGTCATCAATCCAACTACTAAAATAATATATTTAGTTTGGTAACTTTGATTAAATCCGGCATGATCACAATAAAAATTTGTTTAACAAAAATAATAATTTAGTAAATAAATATATAGAAAATCATTTTGTCTAAAACACACAAAGACCTTCGAATTTATTTTGTGATAAATCATAATCAATACAAAATAAATATAAGTAGTAATGATGCAAATATTAAGAATATAACCCTCTAACTATTAATTACATAATTACCCAAAGTGTCGATCTTTGAATTCCGAATAATCCACCGAACAAATTAAAGTAATTACTAATTAATAAAAGAATCTATACTTCTCTCATGCTTAAGAGTCAAATGTTATGACAATGATAGAAAGCAATTACATACGACGGCTCTCACAATATATCTCAACCTAACGTGGATCTGGTTCAAGTCTTAGTTAATTAAGAGTCCATCCATAATTACCGACTATGAACTATTTATGATTACTATTTATGTTCATGTATTGATCGTCATTACATACATATAAATATCTCTTATAATCAAGTGGATACTATCAATTCCATAATGAATCAAAACATAATACATTAAATTCACCAATTGTATCAATCCTTCTACAGGGATCAAAAGAGTAAGGCTGAAGTCAAGTGTTATTGGATGAGGGAGTCGCAGAGCCGAAGAGGTTCAATAAATGGTTCTTGGTAGAATGGATTAGGTGTGAGCCTAAGTCAAAGCCCATTGTACTTTGCTTCACCTATAATGGATCGTTTCGCTCAGGATTACGAAAATCCTCGAGGTTTTTCCAAGATGGTTAGTTGCTTTCCACCAATCAGGATTTCCTCATTAAACACTCGTGTCATCTTTCAAACTCTGTTTACTTGCTTTTTCTTTACCATGTATATTTTTTTTGGTTATGGATGTTTAATTGATCATCATTGTGGGTAAATTAATTAATAATGAAAATTGGATAAGTTGACCTATTTACCCCCTTTTAGGTCAGTAGATTACTAATTCACAACTTAATCAACTAACAACTTCTGTAGCTCGGTGGAGGGGGGATATAATAAATATTTTATTAATTTTTTGATTCACTATTTATAGGAGCTGTATGACTTATGGATTTTATAGAATTTTGAAGGGGTCAAAAATTATTTTTTTAGTTTTACTATTTTATGATTCATTATTTATCGTTTAGGGATTCTACAATAAATAGTTGTCCTTGCCAACACCAACCAATGAGCGGAAACCCAAAAACAACGATGTCCAAGAAGTAAAATAAGCAATCACGAAGAATCAAAAAATAATCACAAACAAGAACACAATATATACGTGGTTCACCCAAAACTTAGGGCTATATTCATGGAAGGCACCGAACAAATTCTACAATAAAAAGAAGAAGGATGATAATGAAAAATTTCTTCTCAATTCCTCTCTCTATTTCTTATGTAGGCACAAATCACTCTCACCATGTTATCATTCTCTCTATCCTAAAATATGATAAGGATTGATATAAATAGTCCCAAGCCAAGGAACACAACCTGCCCTCAAGTATAGCTTTTTGGTGAGTCAAAAACTAACTTTTGTGAGTTGAATGCAACAAAATGGTTGTGGAATATAATATGGATAATTAACCTAGAAGGATGATGAATAAATTTAACTTGTTTCTTTATCCAATTTTTACTTATTTTAATTTTACCAAAATAAAACTAAAATCAAACCCACAAAGCAAAAATAAAGTGCAAGTAAAGTAAATAAAGTTTAAGAGATGACACCAGGATCTTTAGCGAGGAAAGCCCAATTGGTAGAATGGACCAATTGTTGTGGGAAAAACCTCATGAGCTATGCAGTCCAGAGCAAAATAATCTACTATGTTTGAAGCAAAGTACGTTGAACTTTGACTCAGGCTCACACTCTATCGTTCTATCAAAAACCAATCGTTGACAATCCTTGGCTTTGTGACTCCCCCGTCCAACAGCTCTTGACCTTAGGCTTACTCTTAATCTTTTTAGAAGAGTTACAGATAAATTAAATAACACTTCACGAATGCTTTGATCCTTTCAAAGTGTGATCGTTTCACCCATTTTCTTTAAGATTTGAATTTGATGAAGAATGAATGAATTCTGCTTTTTGGAATCTCTGAATCTTCAATTATGCTCCAATTATGACGAGATAGAGAACAACACTCCTAAATCACTCTTGTATTTATGTGTGTTCTTTCAAAAATAAAATCAGAAAAATCAGATTGATTTTCTGAATAAAAAACTCACTACGATGGCTCTTAATTAAACCTGAATTTGTATGCAAAAAGCCGTGAAATCCTAATTAAGAAAACAAGTTTTTTTAAACTTTAAAAAACCTAGATATGCTTGAAAATAAGGTAAATTCCTGCATATGATTTTGGAAAGAAGTCTAAACCAACAAGGAATCAAAACATATCAAGAAACTAAAGTTACCTAAGTAGATTTGGAGTCTTGAACTGGTACTGGATTTTGGCTACCGGTTCAGGATGGATAGAGAAAAATCTGACATCAATGGCTACCTGTTCCCAAAGTTGGCTACCAGTTCCCAATGGACAGAATAGAATTCTACTATTTAGCTACCTATTTCTTGATTTGGCTACCAGTTCTGAATGGACAGAATGTAAACTTCTTACTTCAAACTTTACTTCCTAAGTGTTCCTACACACTCACATACCTTTCTAAAGCATTGTTATCATTATCTCGGAGTGTATTAAAGTATGAACGTACACTTGAACTTCTTCAAATCCGTATCCTATCTTCAATCTTTAAATTCTGAACCAAAATATTACAACTCGATTGGACTTATTTTGACAACAAAATTAACCAATTAAAAAATATATATATCTCACAATCTCTCTCTCAATATATATATATATATATATATATATATATATATATATCACAATTTTTGTAACTTCTCACAGATTGTGTCCAGTTTACATGTTGATGTAAACAGTCCAAGATGGACCAGTTCCCGAAAGTGTGTCTTGTCACACTCAAATTGTAGCCAAGCGGAACTGATTAGGAAAAACTTGGATTGGTCCAAGTCCTCTAAAAAGTTATCCCTATAAGTAGTATAGTGTTTACAACCTAAACAAATACAAATGACACGTATCCAAGTCCATCTAACCTGAATTTCAAGTTGAACTTTCAGTTTTTCCTTCCATTTTTTGAGACGTCGGCCATGGGAATGAAATTTTAATCCCAAATCTAAAGTTGCTTTTTTATTTAGAGGTTTTTCAATTACCATGATAATGCAAAACAAGAGCTTAACAAATGATGTTGGAATGCTACAATTTTTCATCAAGTATGTAGCTAGTACGTTAGATAAAATATGGAGTTGCAACAATGAGAAGAGGATACTTTCTACTGATGCTTATACCAAGGGCTTCTATCACGTCCATATCCTGGCCTCTTTCTCCACCTGGCAATTCAAAATCAAACTTATGCATAAGCTTTGCTAATGCAACTTCATTTAGAGTCATGGCAAATGTGATTCCGGGACAACCCCTTCTGCCAGCTCCAAATGGAATGAATTGAAAGTCTTGCCCTTTAAAATCTATTGAAGTATTCAAGAACCTCTCTGGACGGAACTCTTCAGCATCTTCCCACAATGACGGGTCTCGCGCAATTGCCCAAGCATTGATAAACACTTGTGTACCAGCTGCAACATCGTAGCCCATTACTTTGACATCTTGAATGGCTTCTCGAGGAACTAGAAATGTTGAACATGTGGCTCAATTTGAGGCTTACATCACCCATGACATCATCTTCTTGGCCTCCAAGTATATGTGTTCATCAAGATTTATTCTTGGACTCCAAGAATGTGTGCCCAGCAAGTCTTTTGAGTGGTCACCAAGTAACCTCATTTTGGTGTCCCATTTTGGCTATAAATAGCCTTGCCCTCCATGGTGTTGAAGCATCCCAAATCAATTGAGTGAGTTTGTAATATCAGTTAATGGGTGAGAGAGTTTGGGTGTAATTGGGCTTTGGGTGTGAGCCATTTTGCCTTGTATCTCTTTATTTCTATAGTGAAATATTGTTCTGTCTTCTCCCTATGGATGTACGCATAGCCGAACTACGTAAATTCTTGTCTCGTTTGTGTGTGTGCCTATTTATTTTCTTGTCATTTATTTTTCTCTTGTTCTCATAAACTCCTATTCGATCCTTATTTCATAACAAACTGGTATCAGAGCTCAGTTCGTGTATTGTGTATGGATACTGTTCACATATACTATTTGGGTACTATTCACATATACAGTACTATTCACCGAGAATTATTTTGAGGAGTTTTTTGAGATGTCGACCAAATACGAGATTGAGAAATTTGATGGCAAGATTAGCTTCAGTCTTTGGCGCATTAAGATGCAGGCCTTGCTGACTCAGCAAGGTCTAAAGAAGGTATTGTTCGGGAAGGACAAGTTGCCAACAACTATATCCGATGAAAACAAAGATGAGGTCGATGAAAAGGCGCGCAGTGCGATTATTTTAAATTTACCTGATGAGGTGCTGCGTGAAGATATTGATGAAGACACGGCGGCAAAGTTGTGGATGAAATTGGAGAGTCTATATATATGACAAAATCTCTCACCAACAGACTTTATCTAAAATAGAGACTCTACACCCTTCGTATGAAGGAAGGTATGCCTCTTAAGGAACATATTGATAATTTCAATTCTATTATTATGGATTTGAAAAATACTGATATTAAAATTGATGATGAGGATTAAGCCCTTATTTTGTTATGTTCTTTCCCTCCTTCATATGAGCATTTTGTTACCACACTGTTCTATGGAAAAGGCACTATTAGTATGGAGGATGTTAAATCCTCATTAAACTCTCAGGAGTTGAGGAAAAAGGTGTCTGAGAATATTAGAGATGAGCAGGTCGAGGGTCTATTTGTAAGAGGCAAAGGTGGGACAAAGGGTTCTGCTAGTAGGGGCAAATTTAGATCTCATAAAAATGTGGAATGTTACTACTGTCACAAGATAGAGCACATCATCAAGCACTGTCCCAAACTAAAGGCAAAGAATGGGAATGGCAAAGAGAAGGTTCAGGAATCAGCTTCTGTGGCAACTGCTACAACGAGTGATTCAGAAAGTGACGATTATGTTCTCATAACAACCTTGTGTTCTGGTATGTCATTTAATGACAGTTGGATTCTTGATTCTGGTTGTTCCGTTCATATATGTCCTAATAGGGATTCTTTCTCTTCCTATGAAGAGGTGAAAGATGGTTCGATTTTAAAGGTGGACAGGAATGCTTTCAAAATTTTGGGAATTAGAACAGTCAAGATCAAGACGCACAATGGGTTGGTGAGAACATTGTCAGATGTGCGACATATACCGGATCTGAAGATGAATCTTATTTCAGTAGGTGTGCTAGACTCCAAAGGTTACAAGGTTGTAACAGAAGGTGGAGCAATGATGGTCGTGATGGATTCTCTTATGGTGCTACAGGGCACCAAGGTGAAAATTTTGTATCTTCTCCAATGGAATACAGTAACAAGTGGAGCTTGTACGGGGTCTTCTACAATTAGTAGAAATCTGCGTTCGGGTCTTGGCAAAAAAAGAGTTAAAAAGAGGAGTTACGATCCTAGTTCTCAAAAGGGTTGTGAGGGGACTACACAACATGGTGGGAGAATGAAATCCATTTTTAGATAGCAATCGAAATTGCAGCAGTCCTTACAGGGAGGCAGACCTATGAGGACAGGTGTGATATTGACTTGCAATAATCTTAGTGGCAATGAGATAGTTCATTCGAGTGCCATTAAGATACGAGGAAAAGTCA